ATAAACATAAACCCTGGCTTTAAACTTCCTGGCAGTTGACAGCTTTGACACCAAGTGACGGAAAGTGTCAGGTAATTAAAAAATTAATTTCTTTTTCAAGTGCCATTCTTTGTTATGAAGATGTCTACTCAAAGTGCAGCCTACACATTACCCTGTAGAGAAGGAACCCAAACTGCAAAAATCATAGTGCTGTACTTAATTATGAATCAGAGAATTTTACAAAGAACAGTAAATTGCATAGTGAAAGCCTGTTTTCTGTGACGGAGAATATATTAAAACAATCCTGTTCAGCCCCTAGCAACCCATGCTTGCTACAATTGCTAACTTTAGACACAAACTTCATAAACTGTAGGTTTTCTGCTTTGGCATGCATCTATATTAATTGTTTTCCCCCCACATCAATTGCCTACTATGACTTGATGCAAATCGCACAGAGGTCCAAATGCTTTAACTGGAGCAGAGCAAAACTGCAAGCTCAGACATTTCAGAAGCCAGTAACCAACAGCAAGATGCATGCATGTTGCAGGAACAGTTATAAAACTTCCAGAAATTTCTTCTCCTTTAAACTCATTTTAATTTCCTCGACTATTCTTTTCTGCATTGTCGTAAAGAACAGCTTCAAAATATATCACCACCAGGGAGGAGTCAAAGTCTGCATGTGTGAGGACATTGGTCTAGATGGGAGTCACTGCAGGTCCAAGAGAAGCAGAGCTGATGAAAGACAGGTATGTATGACTACTTAATGCAGCAGTGAGAATCTTAACATTGAGCTTCAGGTAGGAGGTATGTGAGGGAAACCTGAAGTGCTGACATGAAACCAGCAGCTGAAGCTTTGACCTTATTGTCAAGGAGTTGTATCTATGAAAAGGTGAATTAGTCAAAGAATGTGGATGAGGAAAAGCAGCCTATCAAAAAAACAAATAGGGAGAAGAAGCAGGCGAGGATGACATGGCAGTTTCTAGTTAAGGTTTAATTGCTAGTATCAATGGTGACCAGGAAATGAAGAGTTTGGTCATGTAGAGACTGCAGGCCGAAGTGGACAAAAGGAGAGAGGGACCCTTTACATTCAGAGGTGTAGGGCCACCTCCATGGCATGCCACAGCAGTGTCTAAAGTTGGGAAGAGATGGGGAATGGGGTGGCTCTTGGAACTGTCTGAATGCAACTGTGGTTTTGAGCTGTGGTCTCCATAAGCAGGTCAGGGGAAAGTATGTATCTACATTGCGAAGAGAAAACAGGAACAGGCTGCTTCCAGCATTATAATCCACTATAATTCTTCCCCAACTCTTTTCCAATCCTGTCTTCTCAAAACTGTACTCTGCCTCAGCAAATGGCAGTGACTGAACTTTCTTCTAAGTAAGAAAGATACTTCTAGAAACATAGTGGAGAAAGACTTGTCTTTTACTCAAGTCCCAATCCTTAAAAAAGAAAATCCTGCAAAAATTTAAGATATATTTGGGAGTTACCCAGTTTTTCAGTAAATATTTTATTTAAGCAATCCTTCCCCATTTCTTCTTCCCTTTTCCCAACAGGAACACTCAGCCTGAATAATACAAATGCAGTTTAGAAAAGGACTTGCTTTACTTTCCAGGCTCATGTCTTCTGATCAAGTCATTATCTCATTACTGTAAACAACACACTCCTCCTGATACAAGTACATTTGCTTGTTGAGCTTGTTACATGTCCCAGGGCTAAAAATCCTATGGGGTAGGAAAATAGTTTTCTTTTTTTTTTTTACCATATTTGTTCAGGAGGCAGAAAAAACCCCTCCTTTTATGAATGTAACTCAAGGATATATATGCACAGCCGTCTGGTTCTGAGGTCTAAATTTTTGCAAGTCAGAGAAATGGTCAGTGCACCACACTGCAAATCAGCAAGGTCAGTCCTATAATGTGGCAAAAACAATGGAAAAGAGATTTTTTTTGTTGAGTACCCAACTCAACAAAAAGCCAATACCTTTTGCTGTTAGCATTCATTGAGGAGGTGGTAGACGCTTGGAGCAGACTCTGAAAGTTGAGGTGCAGATGCAAGTGGGTCAGTGTCAGCTGAAGAGTTTCTGCCACAAAGGACTCAATCTCTGTGTAAACCACAAGTCAGTTAAACCACAGGTTGGGAACCCTGCCTGCTGAGCAGAGAGCTGCAAAGCTTTTCATTATGTTTTGTAGCATGTGTAATCTAAGAATGATGAAAGAAATAAGTTTTCCTTTACCTCCTTTGCTTCATGCTCCTGGATTATCTTCACGTTAAATACCTTAGCATCATGCAGTGCATTTGCTGGCAGCTCTTCCTCTTGTTGCTGAAGCCTGTGCTCTAAGGGACCAAATTAGCTGATAGACTGTATGCAGACTGCTTAATTACTTTCTTGTTATTCCACTTGTATTTAAAATACTATGTTATAATACTGCAGCTCTTCCAGTTAGAAGCTCATTGGTATTATGAAAAATACTTAGGTATTCCTACAAGGAGGAACAACTGTAAAAACAGGGTAAGCAAACTCTGTACTGTGAGTTATCAGCAGGAATGTAACAATCAGCCTCTCAGATTAATCAGCTTTAGTGAATTCTGAGTGCTCTGACATCCAGTCTAAATATGGACCCCAACTAAATAATAATTTTCTATGAACTTACATAAAGTTAAATTTTATTTACTGGGAACAGAGACAATGTCGTGATTGTGAATGCCTTATTCTTTTTTGATTGTTTATGAACAGACAAGTTGCTTTTGGAATAAACCTGCCAAATCCAACAGGTTAGAAAGGGACTTCAGAATCAGTCTGGAAAAGGAAGATATGTTGGAATATTCATGGCATAAGAGAGGATTGGCTCTTTACAGAGGCCACCTACACAAAGCAGCATGAACAAACTGCAGATAGTGCAAATGGGCTCACTCACAAACTATTTAAATTTTTATTTTAAATTGTCTTGTTGTGGCAGGAGAATCATATTTAATCAATCAGCATTCTTAGCCTTGCCTCTGTGTGTTATATTATCAGTGAGATCAGTTTTGAGTGACTGAAGCATTTAAAAGGAGTTCCCTGTTTTTCAACAAACAGATGCTTATTGTCTCTCCTCCCCCTGCCCCCAGCCCATCCCTGCATGATATAGAACTTAAAATACTAAAATCCTGTGCAAAGAAATTCACTTGCCCATCAAAGCACTCATGGAAAAACGACAACATAGAATTTCAAAGACAGAGGCTTCAGAATATCTAATTGAGCGATGTTTAGAAGTGTGTTTAATTTTGGAAACATGCATAACCAGCTGAGATATTACCACCAAAGTAGACATTTGAAATGGTGTACAATAAAAAAGACAAGAAATCACACACAGGCTGGTGGGCAACGTTAAGAAGGTACAAGGCTTGCAGTGTATTAAAGAAATGTGTGAAACTGACAACAGGCAACAAATATTCACATCTTGTTGAGTCACAAATTTGGTTTTTTTTAAAACAGAATAGGCTGACCAGTGCTTCTGATTTCATCAATAGTATGTTGCTCTTCAGGTAGGATACAGCCAAAAGGTTACACAAGCTGCAAAATTAAACTCTTTCAAAGTCATGATGTAACAAGAGCTTGTTTAAGTCCAAGGCTTTCTATAGACCATTCATTTGATTGGCATTCTTTTAAATGTACAAACAGAAAGATCAAAGTAACTGTCACATAAGAACTTGGCTATCATCTTATCTGCAAAACAAAGAAATCCAGGATGATCCTTCATGAGCAATGCAACTAACACATATTTCTTTGGACAAATACATAGTCACATGTGCTTGCAAAGTATTTCTAAATAGACTTTTCAAAAAGTATTTTTAGAGTAGTGCAATATAACTTTATCTGCAATTGCAACCAGTGAGAGGTAATCCAGAGAGGACCACAGCCCCCCTGGAGGATGCAGTCCTATCACTCTCCCCTGGGCAAAAATCCCCTTTAATGTCACTGGGAGCTAATAATGAGGAGCTGTGCACAAGTAGTCCCTCAGGAATGAGTCTCCGCTCACTATTTGGGGAGCTGAGTTTGGAAGTCTGCATGCAGCTACCAGAATATATCCCCAAGTACTCGTTATGCAGTGGCCACTAAGACATTTGAAATGTAAATGTTTCTCATCTATGTTCCATGTAATTCATAAGATAATGCAGTTTCCATGCAGTAGGGAAAGGTTGTATCAGAAGAACTGACAGTATTAACTAACGAAAAAACCCTGATATATCAGTTTTACCACAACTGCATTTTTTTCCTCTACACAGTATTTCACATTGGTAACAGGCAATGTTATACCATAAAGCATATTAATATGATCTTGTAATTTGAATGAAAAAGCTTTTTTGCAAGATATCCATATTAAAATAGTTATATGCACAAAAAGTGTTCACAGCATGACACCCAAAGCAGTAATGGAGTTAATTTTACCCATTAGAGCTAAGCTATGTAGTACAAATGAAGACTACTGGTACATGTAGAAAAATATGACAGGCAATCAGTGACAAACCTGGCAGTATTTTGAAACAGAGATTTTTAGGTCTTACAATGGAATGATAAAGACAGAAGGAACTGCTTTTGGGAGCTCCAGAAAGAGATTTTCACTTGGTGTTTCTCACTGTCTTATAAACAGCCCTACCACATAGAAAAATGTTGCACCAGGAGTTAACATCAGGGTCTGAAATTTTAAAAAAACTGCTAAAACTTAAGTGCAGTATGTTCCACTACATTGTATTTCTCTTGTAATATATAAAACATAGAAAGTTGTAATGGTGACTTACTGGATAAAAATATTAATGCTCACAAATAAAATATGAGAAATTTCTGAGTCAGATTTAGATGTTTTGTAGGTTTAGTTCACATGATTTGACTATCTCATATATCTTTGACCACCAAGTAGCAGTATATATTCTCCATTTTAGATTGACTCATTGTATCTGTTACATTGTTTCTAACAAGTCTTTAAAATGACAAAAACCCTACTTGAAACAAATGTCTTTACAATGAGAAATAGATTTTACACGAGAAACCATTTTCCACCTTTTAATACTGTTACAAAATCTCTCCACTACATAAAAAGGCAAGATAAATAAAAATCTTAGAGAAAGGAAATGCTTCTTAGGCTTGCTCTTTTGTCTTCCTCTTGCAACTGCTGGTCTCCTTAACACATGAAGTTGGCTAGGTAGGATTGTTTTTCTTTCTCTTGCTTGGGCTGTGAGAAGGATCTTGTTTCAGTTCATGGTATTGCATCTGTTTAAACACAAAGTTCAGAAAGAAAATTGTCAGGTGGCACTTGTTATGAAAAAAGAAAGGTATAATTTTTTTCTGTCCGGGGATAAAAGGTTGAAAAAAGAAGACTTTCCCCCTAAAAGTGATACAGAATTTGCAAATGTGATTCACCAACACCAGAATGACAGATCTAGACAGGAACACCAGGAAAATCCTACCAGGAAATAACACCGCATGCTGATGTAAACTTAGAAAAGACTAGGGTTTTTTTTGTTTTCTCCATGAGATCTAGCAGACTAAACATTATAATCTTGACCATGTTGGATACCATTCTTCATAATGTTTCTTAAAAGCTTGGTTATTTCTAAATGCCTGCCACAGAGGGTATCAGATACAGAGTGAGTGTTTGCACCCATATCTCTTACTTAATACCAGCTCTGAACTGAAACTAGAAATTCGGGAAGTCTATAATCTTTGTGACACCGGATGTGATTTATGTGCTTGATACTATCTTAAATCTTGCATTCTCTCTGGGGATTGTGTAGTGCATCATAAAAGCTTGTAATTCTGTAATTCACAACCAGTTTTTTTGGGTTTTTTTTGGTTTGGTTTTTTTTTTTTTTTTTTTTTAAGGAATTTATGAGCCCAGTGGAACTGTGGCCACAGCAAAAGCTTTCACCCCTTGGAAGGGAAAGGCCAAAGTGTTCTCAGAGTGCTGAGGAATGCTGTCTGCCTCTTCCATTATTTGGCCTTCCTATTCCTTCTCTGCCTTCTGAGAGCCCTAGCTCCAGTGTTTCCTTATACAGTGCCTTATCCCAGTCAGATTCACATCGTGCTGGATGCTGTTTAATACAAGCTCTAGCTACCATCTCACAAATACTTGTCCTTCTACTGATTGTTTCTAAGGATCCTAAGAGGCACAACCTATGCAGGAACTTCTTTCCCATTGGATAAAGATCTAGCAGCCTCTTTCTGGTTAATGGATTATCCTCAGCTTGAGTTTGCAATTTCTTTCTGCCAAGGAATATAATAGTAAATCAAAACAACTGCTTTAAAAATTACCAAATCAAATCAAATCAAATAAATATACACACCACTTGCACATCGGAAGGGACTCTGGAGAGAAAGTCAAGTAGCTCATTGTTATCAATTGCATATGGATTTCGAATCTTCTTTGTAAATTTATTGATGCCTGCAAAAGTGAAAGTTCAAATGTTACTATCATAAGATAAAATATATCAAGAGATACATACTTTTGGCAAGGTTTTAAGACAGATTTTAGGATCCACTCTGAATCCTGACAGTAGTACTGAATGAATGCATGAATTGTAAACTCGCGCTCCAAAGGTTGGACTCTGCTTCTGTGGTTCCCTGTTTCAAAATACGAAATTTCTAGGGACATTCTCAAATTCCTTCAATATATGTTTTTGGAATGTAACAGAAACTGTGGTTTTTATGAGGAAGCTGGGAAAAACAGAGGCATAAAAAGTATTTAATTTCTGTAACAGAGAGGATGAGAAGAAATGGGCTTAATTGGTGGACACAAGATTCATATAAGATCCAGAAGATTCAAGGAAAGTATTTTTCATGCTAATAACAAGGAAGCATATGGGAAGCATGAAGTCTGCATCGTATGAGAACTTTAGAGGAGCTTACACAAACCTCTGTGTGGAAATGAAAGACAGAGACTAGCTGATGGCAGTGCAGAGAATAGAGGATATTTCTCCCTTAGGCATCATATTCTTATAATGCCATGGTCTTATAACTGAGAATTAGTATTCAGAAGCACCAAGAAAAATCATCCACAAAATAATCAGGAAGCGGGCTTAAATTAGACATATTTTCTTAATTACATACCAAGTCAGATTCATACACTTTGAGATGTCAGATGAGGTCTGTGGGCTCTGGGAAAACATGTCTAAAACATGGGCAGGAACGGTGCAAACTGCATTGACTCTCATGTGAGCAAGAGAAAGCTAGGACACTATTAAAAATATGCCTTTCTGTGTAATTTATCCAGGCTCTATCAGATATAAGATAACATAGTTTATCTTCCACAAAGTCTTTGATGCCCAGACTTTTCAGAAAGCTGTAGCAAGGACATGGATAGGGCATGCAAGATTCAGTGTCAACCACACCCAGAGCTTCCCACTGCATGAATCCTCAGTTCTGCAGCATAGATAGGAGATGCTGCCCTCCCTTTATGTGGTGTCGGATAGTGAGTGTTCAGAAGGAACATCTGACCTTCAAACACCTTTGTTTAAGAAGATGTTTTGCATCAGCAAGTGACTGCAAAATTTAAGGTTGAACGTCACTGTTCAGTGCACATGGCCGCTGGACCACCCATGGGTGATTTCTGGTGGTATGAACGCACTTTATCACATCTGATAAAGAAAAATACCAGTCAGTGTGTGAAACCTCAAGAAAGGAAAAGCACTGCACAGATGAGAGGAGACACTACAGGAGAAGCAGAATACAACAAGGAGATTGGTCTTTTCCAACAGTCTGAAAATTTTCAGATTAAAATAATTACAGTTTTTTTTCCACATAAACAGCTGTAGCTGTTACCAGGACTCAGCACTTCATCAAGTGGGATTGGGATGGAGAGGTGGTTTCTGCTCCACCCCACCTAACACACCACATCTTCAAGGACCGTAGTCTTCACTGGGAGAGAAACAGACAGGAAAGGATGGAGAATTTCTTGCTAGGGCAGACTGAAAGGGGCAGACCCTATGGATGCCATGAAGAAAGACAGCTATACAAAAGATGACACATAATATGAAGAAATTTTAATTTAAAATATCTGCCTTCCAAAGAACAAAATGGACAGATGCTGCTACAGACCAGATCAAATATTCCTACGGAAGTAAGTCAAAAAAGAGAAATCAATGGCTCCCCACAGGCAGGATGGATGAATAGAATGAAGAAATATACACAGGAGAGGCTAGAAACATGCAGTGATGGAGAAGATAGGTAGGTGTTTGGAATACTGCAATTTTTGAAGGGACAGCTGTTCAAAGCTGTTCTCAGCATGACACGGCTCTGTGAGAATTCATTTAACCCTGAGGAGGTCTGGATTGTAGGACCTGCACCTCTGCAGTACCTGTCTGGTCTTCTGTCATGACACAAGAGAAAAAGATTCCTAAAGAAGGGATGCACATATACTTGCTGAGTAAGATGTCACCTGAACTGAAATGCAGAGAAAAATGTGGAGTCAAAACATCTAGTGAACCAAGGGGCTTGAAGTTATATCTCATAGCCTATGTAACTTGAAGGCAGGGATGGAAAAGATGCAGAGAGTGCAAGGTGCATTTATAATAATTTATGCTTACGCTATCCATCCACGGTTTGGGAGGCTTGGGAGTTGAGACTCTGCCTTATCTGAAACAGAGATATTTCTGTGGGAGTGTGACACTTCCAGGGATATGAGTAATGAGCTTTTCAAAGAACAGTTCTGGCTCTACAGTTATGTGGACCTTGGAGGGGTATTATAATTCAGATTATTGTATCACACCTGATGTAAAAAAGCAGGATGTCAGACCTGTCTGAAAAATTACAGACAAATACTTCGAACTTGCTGGTACAAAAGAAAAAAGTCTTTTGCTTTTACTTATTCCCCCATATCATGCTGGTGTTCATGGTATGGGGGAATAAGTAAAAGTCAAAGACAGGAAGAGAAAGGAAGCCCATATGCTTGCTTTTGTTTTTTTATGTAGAAATACTTTTGTTCATAATCTTCTTTATTGTTTTGGCTATGATCATTTGAGAAAACATTCCAAGAAAATTACAAATACTGACTGATTAACAAAAAATAAATTCTTTGGAGTCCATTCAATGATTTTATGCTGTCTCCTGAATTCAAAACTTTTTCACGAAAGGGTGCCTGCTATTCTTCAGAAAGAAAATCTGGCCACTGATGTAACTGAGACTGTGCTCTTCAAACATCTGTGCTACTGGGTAAGGGTACAGCAGCTAGTGGTGTAAGATGTATGAAAAGATATACAAATGAAAACCTGGGGCATTATTTACAACAGATGTGGTAACAGTAGCTTTTTAAAATCAGTATAAAGAATAGACATAAGCACAAGTAGTGAAAGCTTTCTGTTCATTATCAACCAACCAAATACCTCATATTCCTTTCTGTCTAACTAAAGGTGACCCCTTAAACAGGTTTCTTGCTGCTATGTTTGCATACACTTTCACAAGATAAAGTACTGCATTAAAAAAGGCGTATTGTCCTAAATGCAATATATAGATTGAAATGCCTCTGTTTTTGTATAAGTGGTGAAAATAAATCAGAGTAATATCTAGACAAAGCTACACTTTGATATATGAAGAATCCTCATGGCTACATGTTTATAGCATGATTAAGTATAAAATGCCAGCCAAGAAAAATGCATTTTGCAGGTGGGCCTAAATATTTACACTGTTGCTGTTAACTAATATGCCTAATTCCATTATAGGGGAGCTTCATGACCATAAATACCAAAAAAAGTAGTGCCAGTATAAGTCATCCATTAAAAACAGGTTTTTAAAGCAGTACAGACAGTTTAAAAGGGCTTTACTTACCCCAGACAAGGACAATGTATCTCAGTGGAATGAAATACAGGATGATGGTGAACACAGAGAGGGCAAAAATTGCCAGCCAGCTCAGGAATGGGACAGTCCAGTTGAATGTACTAAAGAAAAATTAACAAGAGTCAGAACTGAGGTCGGCCAACAAAGCCAATAAAGAGCAAAGGACAGTGGAAGAAGTGTCAGTTTCCATCAGGGAGAACAAACTGAGTCTACTAATGAAAGCATGGATGCATTTGTCATTCATCAGGGAGGGCCTGGGCTTGGATCCAGTGTCAGTGGAAATGAAAGGAGGTCCTAGCTTTGACCACTTGCCTGCTGAATTTCACCTCTCCCAGCAGTGCACATCTGCCAGGAGAACAACTGCTCTGCTTTTTGGAAATCTCAGTGCCTAACCCCAGTTTCAGCACCAGGAAAAACCCACAGAGCTCCCTACTCTCCAAATGTACTCACACAGGCAATCTCCATTCCCTTCTCAACATCATGGTAGAGTAGGATACAATAGTTGGAAGACTACTGCTAAAGCTTTCTTGTTTTATCTCCTCCCTATTATTCCACTGTAAGGATAGCACCAGGAGTTAAAGGCTGAACAGGGACATTCCCCTCTGTCTGAGGTACAGGTGCACTCCTCAGCCAGGTGCCTTCCAGCTTTGGGGGAAAAGGAAAAGGCAAGTGCATGGCTATGCAAAGATGGAAACTTATCCTTGTGCATAAGAAGGAGAGGGCTAGGGAAAAAAAAAAAGGTGGTAGAACAGTCTGTCATGAAGACAAGGGATATGCAACAGCAGTGGTTGAGAAAAGAAATAAAAACCTTCTGGATGTCAAAAGAAAAAAAAATATAATTAAAAAAAACCTGAAATAAGTAAAGGTTATTTATCTATGAATAAAGGAAGATAATTTCTGGGATCCCATAAGAGTTCCAGGACATTACTTTTCCAAAAAAAAGTCACTGATAAAAACATCCTCACTAAGGGTCCCAGACTCTATTCTGATAAAACTCTGCTGATCATCACATTCTGCAAAATTGAGGTGTGAGGGAGATTTAATGGATCTTGAAAAGGGTGCTATGGCTCTCCAACTCCTGTATTCAGTGAATAGAGAAAGACCAGATGATAATTTTATACATATGTCCCATAGGAACGCTGGTTGAGGGGAGCTTGGGTCAGCGTATTTGTTCCATGAAGGCACTGCCATCTCAAAAGTGTTGCATGACATTTATCCGGAAGGATAATGTGGCTTTAAATCTAAATAGTCTCATGATACACTTTAAAGTATTACTACTAGCTACATTCTCAATCAATGTGATTACGTGATTTTGGCTTCTCTAGATGAATAATTGCAATTACCTGAATTGCAAGCCATATTTTTCATAATGAGCTCTGGCTTCCTGTATTCATTTTTCTTCTTTTTTCCCTGGCAATTTTGACATGTCTCCACTAACATTATGTTAGTGTCACTTAGTGTAGGACGCCTCCCTTTATCCTCGGGGGACACCTGCTCTTTTCCCCTTTTCTGTAGGCATTTGGGATGAACAGAAAGTTGAGGGTCTGCTCATGTTCCTGTGACTTGGTTTTGTGCAATGGATCACAGACACACCATGATGTGTGGGAGCCCTGGCTCCTCACTTAGCAAAGCTCCTTATGGGCTGTGTTACTACAGCATTCAGTGCAGGTTTCCCATTATAGTTTTAGGAACAAATTACAAGATCTCACTCAGTTTACAAAATTCTGTAGCTCTCATCTGGTATATAATAGAACAAACCCTACCTCCAAAATGCACAATTAGAACTACTTAATCATCAAGACAACTTCCACGAATAGCCCTTTGATAAAGGACTTTTTTCAGAGACTGGTTCATTTTTCTAACTGGAGAACTTGTGTGATACAATATGCTTGCACCTGCCTCTCCTGCTGTCAATACAGCCTGCCTGGAATTGTCCCTAGGGAACTTTCCCAGGCTTTCCTATTAGGGACTTTGCTCTTAAATGAATAAATGGCAATGTCCTTGTCATCAAGACGGAACAGGACAGCATTAGCGATTATCCTCAGGATTCCTGCAGACTGACCTCCACCCAAGGCATAGGTTCCTAAAATTCACTTCCAAAAGTGAATCGGGTAGTAGTGAGATGCTCTTGGCTTTTGAAGTGCAGAACACCAAGTCAATCCTCTCTGTGTTTTGCTGCTGACAGCCGGAAGGTATCTTTCTGGAACCTGTCTCACCTCAAGTAATAAACCTTGTGCTGCTGTCCACTGACCATGCCAAAAATACACCAATACATTTCCTGCAGTAAATCTCAGAACCTCTCTTTCTCAATGTCCAGATTTTAGGTGTTACAAATTATAAATACTCTAAAGGAAAGGTTTTGCTGATCAATAAATAAAACTTCCAACAAGGGAACTAATTTACATCCTTAAATTATGAAACTCCTATACAGTTCTGCTTGTTTCCTTTATCAAAATTGCAATTTTTATTATTGCTTTTAAATAACCTCAAAATAATATGTTCTTTCTGTTTTACTTTAAAACCTTACTTTTTATTTTTGTCCCAATTAATATAGTTCTAAACTTCAGAATTAATGTAACAGAATTTCCACTCATTGAGGGCCTCCATAAAGCAAAGTAAATATAGGTGAGTTTGAATGATGGACTCCCCTGGAATAAGTAAATAAAAATCTAACATATTATATCTCTGCATGAAAAAGATGTTAAAGAGTATTGAAAAACAATCCAGCACCTGTGTCAGCACTTACTTCTTGATCCTCTCACCAAAGGAAGCAATTTCATCTAGGATATTCTGGACAGTGACACACACCTCCTGGATGGCATAAAGTCTATTCATAAATCCTTTCTTTTCACTGTCCTAAATAAAAGAATAGGAGTAGTTGAGTAAAAGAATTTCTGACTGTAGGAAAAGGCTTGTGTAGCCATCAATTAAGTTTCAGAAGGTCTTGCATTACAGATTCATGTAAAAGAATTGGTAAAACCTGGCAATAAGAAAACTATTTCTTGTCCTGTAAACAGTGCTTATTGCAATACATATGGTTTCATATATATGCTGATCTCCACACAATTTTGTCTGCCACTGCATTAGTTTCTAAACACATATTTGAATAAGCCAGCTCTCTAGGTTTTAAACATGCTGAAGGTGCCAACCTTGTATGTTGTGTACTCTTTCAAGTGACGAGTGTTATGAGTAGAAAAGTTATCCATTTTTCTTAAGTTGCAGAGTTAACAAGTTAAACCAATTGCTGTTGTTAATAACTTCATGTTGTAATCACCCGTTGTTAATAGTTTTTCTTCAATTACCTGTTAATGTTTAGAAATCGGCTCAATTGTCCCCCTGCTGCTTCCTCGAGGACACCTGAAGCTGCAGGTAGTGGAGGGGGGAAGGTGGCTGGTATGCAAATGAGGAAGCCCCTCACCAAATCGTGCAAGAGAAACCCCTAAAGCAACGTGCCAACATGGAATTAAGAGATCTAAGTGATGTCTAAAGGTGTGGAACTTAATCCCGTGTCTGGTAAGATCGTTTTTACCTTTCACCCTCAATAGCAATAATATTAAAAAAAAAAAAAAAGTACAAAAGAGAGGAAGTGATTTACATGCGAAATGCTCACTACAGAGCCTGACCCGCCCGCAGCCACACCACCCTGACCGCTCCCTCCAGCTCGGAGCCAGTGCCACACTTACTCAGCCAAAAGGAATCCCTCTTCCCGGAAGAGAATCCCTTTCCCCTGCCCCCAACAACTATGTGAGATGGTAGAAAATAACCTCTAGGTTCCAGCCATCTCCCCTCCTGGCTACTGCAAAAATTAATCCAGTCCTAGCCAGAACCAGACAATCCAAAAATATGTCAGTTTTAAATCACTTCCCACAAATTCCATAAAGACAGAATGAGACAGAAAAAGGATCACTATTTCCAACCCACTGCACCTTCTGAGCTTAAAGGAAATTTGTTGACATACTCTGAGGCAGGATTGGACAAAACAGCACAGGAAAGACGAGGCAGTCAGAAGGATCATGGTTCATCTTTGCTTAAATTATTCCAACTATTCCCACATGTCCCACAACTATTAACTTCCTTTTTTATTTCCTGCTCCAAATAATTGTGTAACAAATTAGCTGGACTAGGGAAAAACTGCAGTTATTTTCTTCCAGCAAGATGCCATGTTATCAAATACAACACATGAGCTACCTAGAGTAAACCAAGGTTCTTAATAATTAATTTTTCAAACACTATTGGCATTTCCTTTCCAGAGAAAGATGGTGTGAGAGACGGGAGTAGATTGGTGGCTTGAAACATTTCAGTTGCATGAATGGGATATGGGGTAAGACAAGCCTTGCTCTGGTGAGTTTGCTCCATCCACCCCACCCCCTAGAGCCTGTACCCCAGCCTTGCAATGGCACAGTGGACGCAATGTTCTGAACCTGCCCCTGGAGCCCCTAACCTGGCCCCAGAGTGGCTACCAGATGTCCCACCTGGGGGAAGGACCCAGGAAAGCCAATGGGTACTCATGCTAGACCATGAGGCAAGCACTGACCACTGCAACCACCAGTGGTAGTCATATTTTTTCTTTTCTATATCTCTTGTGTCTTTCTCTTAGTTCTTTTTCTTCCAATTACTTCTTCGTGAAGCCTAAGTAACTTAAAGTCAGATGGGTTGGAGTTTGTCAAGTTGAATGGACTTGGAGCTTGCTAAATTAATGCTTTGTGAAATACGTTATGGTGATTCAATGTTGCTTTAAACTTTTGCCAAAGTTCCCTGATTTTCTGAAGTTGCCAGTAAAGTTTTTGTTGTTTTGACTCTTTAGGAATATCTTGTCGGTGTTTCTCTTTTGCACCTAACTCTGGGTAAAAGAACAAACCAACCTGTAAGCCTCTTTAAGGGACTCAGCAAGAGAATTCTGGGGCCTTGAACATGGGCCGTGACTGGAATCAATTTCATCATTTGCACGATTACAACTGTCAATTTTCTGGACATAATTGTCATTTAAATAGTAGATAAAATTTATAATACAAAGCTAACAAAGCTTAATACAAAGCTTTATTACTATTTCATTTGTGTGATTTATTTGTTTGCAGAAGGCTTAAGGTATCTGAAAAGCAAGAGATTTGCTAGGGCATAGTTGTGAGCACAAATTGTGAAAGCAGAGTCAAATTGATGCTGATGGTCTGACCTGAATTTTAAAAAGAGTATGAACCCAAAGTAAAGACTGAGAAGATGTCCTACTCCACTTTCACAGGAAATTGTAAATTAAAGATTGATATGCTGTTTGGTGAGTAGTAGTACTTAACATTTACACACTGATTTTCAGCCAGAACTATATTTTCCTTTTGGTGAAACCAAAGCAAAACAAAGTAAATTACTAGGTCTAAACTATGTCCAGCTAATTTACACAAATCCCTAAATAAAATCCATGTTATGTGAGTCTTTTTATTCAACAGACTGTTCTTCCAACCCTGTGACAAAATAGGGTGATTTAGGAAAGGATTATATCTGTAACCCCAAACCTCTCTCCTCTCCAAGTAAAAGTGCATTTAAAAACCAAACATTTCAAATTATCAGGAAAGCAGGAGAAATAAATAAGCCAGACTCAAAAGTATACTCTGGTAAAGGTAATGCGTTTAAGCCAGAAAAGGGAGGAAAAAAAAGTTTTAAATACAGAGAATAAAACTCTGAACATTTTATGGTGGATAACTGCCCTACTAGTAACTTCTAATTTGGAGAGAAAGGCACTGATCATAAGAGGAGAGTTTTGAGAATAGAAGCAAATGCTGAAGGCCAGGATATATACCCCACCAGGCAAGGTCTGACCCCTTCCCACACACAGGCATCCAAAACCAGCTTGAAATCAACCTTTCCAGGCTCTGTCACCTGTGGCTGCAAAAGCAAATGTATAGCCCTGCTGCTATCAGTGAAGAGCCCCTCCAATCATCTTTGACTTTTAGTAACAAGCCAAAAAAATCTCTATTGCTTAAACAGAAACTTCTGTGAGAAAACTCTTCAGATTATTTCAACTCATAATTGGTGTTGAAAGTAAAGTCCATAAATAGGCACCCACATCATCCCTCAGCAGGAAACTCAACTATACACAGGGCTCTAACACTGTGGCAGCCTTCCTTTGTGGACTGATGAAACAGACCCAGAAGTAGCTGGTAGCACATGCATTAGTCCTTTACTGGCAGGAGTCATTAGTACTGACCAGAAAAACATACAGATACAGACCGTGAAATACTGGTTCATGGCGTGGCCACTGCTCAAAACCCCACCTCAGCAACTGCATTCCAAACCCTAACCTCTGCTGTCTGTGAAGCCCACAAAGATAGTAAGCCAATACTGTTTCAGCTCTGGAGGCCTTCGATCTCCTTAAAGTCTTCTGAATCTCTATCAAAAGGCCTCAGATCTGTGATGGACACCCAGTTAAGTTTTTATTTTATCAAATGTGGGAGACAGAAATCCTTCTGGTGAGCAACATAAAGCACTCTGGGAAAGGTTTAACTAGCAGAGAGGTGAAAAACAAGTCCTGTAACCAGAGAACGGGTTGCATGGCTGGCGTGTGGCCAGCATGTGTGTGGGGCAGTGATTGTTTGGGGGGTGCATGGACAGCACATGATCAGAGAGCTGCAGAGAGCTGCTTGGGTAAAGGGACGTATGAACAGCGACACTGCAGTGGTAGGCAGCCAATGCATGCTGGGTTTGGTTAAGTTTAGAGCATAGAAAGGCTTAGTTTGCTGCAATAAACGATCTTCTTCAGTGCAAGCAAGAAGGTCCGTGTGTCTTTGTTCCCCATTGCTACAATCAAATTCTCAGGTAAATAGAAGGAGGACAGACAACCATGATATTGTTATCTTAACTGTGGTAGAAGGTCTTGAGGTAAAGCTGAATGGTCTACAGGATCTGGAGAGGTGCATGATGTGACTTGAGACTGGCCTCCTTATTATATCCTATAATGAGCTGAGAGTCAGGTTATTTTAATTTTTTCCCCCTTGCAGGCTATCACTGATGAACAGCACAACCACATTATTCTTTCCCACTTCTTAAATTGAAAAAGTATGGGAAGACTCTTGGAGATATTAAAGCTTCTCAGTGGGACCTTAATGATTCAAAAGTTTCCACCCTTTCAGTAAGCCAGATTGCAACTCTTGAGACTTTCACTTATTTTAAATAGTGACAGATAGCATTACAGATACCTGTGTATTTTCAGCATCAGCAAAATAGAAAACCTTTTCGGTACTTCTTCCACTCTGAAAAGGACGAGCAGGAGCAGACTTCCTTAAAGCACTGGCACCACTTCACCTCAGACATCAAATCCGTGGATTATGTAGATAACCAGAACTGAGCTTTTAAACTTGGGGCTTCAACCTCACCCATATTACTGGGCACCACACCTTAAGTGACCACATTTTTCAGATACTATCAGCTGTCTACAAATGCGCAGTACATCATCTTTAAAATCTACGTGCTAGCGTGTGTCTTTATGTGTGCATGGTGATGAGGTCTGAAAATAACTGCTCATGCCTAACTGGAAATCAGGCTGAGGATTATAAAATATGGAGAAAACCAATTAATAATGATGAGTAGAGTTTTACAGAGAGAAATTATACTTGTGGTCATGATTATTAAAAATAGAAGCAATAAACTGTTATTGACTAGTAAGATTCCATATTTAAAACAGGACACACTAGGCACAACAGAAATTATATAAACATGTGTAAGAAAATACGGAAGACTAAGGAAAGAACTGTTAAACAGAGACTTTTTTCACCATTGCCCAGCCTTTGATAAGATCCGCAGCTGAAGACCTGATGTGATAAGGGGCCAGGAGCATCCATTGATAATGGGCTGTGATAATGGGCCCATGA